ATATACTTCGTATTACATATACTATCGTATAAAGGAGACCAAAATCTAAAGTCCATATGATCGATGAATTAGAGGTTATGGGTTGATCGTTTCTTGAGCCCTGAAAAGAAAGAAAAAGGTGAAAAAAGAATTAGTGGAGAACGAATAAAAATTCACTTAAGAATCCATTCAAATCTAATGGCTCGTGAAACAAAGTATGAACTAGTCTAATAAACAAAGCAGTAACCATAATCAGAAATAACAATATTGTGTGACCAAATATGATGTTTGACTCGCCATTTATGTACTCATCAACTAGGTACTAACAATAATGTTGTGGCCAAAATAGATACTAATATTTCAATAACAAATAAAACACCAAGAGGAATGTGAAGATCTACTACGAAATGCGGAAATGTGATTTGTATTCTATTATATTAATATTAAAATTAATGTAAACTTAATCAAATAAAAACACTTTACTCATTTTTTAAACTCATTCATATTAAAAAATTTCATATTAAAAAATTAGAAGACAATTCAAAAATAATAAATAGATTGAAAGGTTAATTTGTTAAATCAGTACCTGATTGTTTTTGAGTTATCCTTTGTTGGCCATCTGCCATCGGACTGCTGAGGTCTTCCTCCAAAGGTCAAAAGTCCCTCGATTCACTGAATAGCATCGGGCACAAGAGCCGTTGTTGACCAGTCGCTTGCCATAATCAAATCTTAGCTGATGGGAGTGTGTAGTTTCAGTTTGTCATCCAGTTCTACCGACATCAAATCTCTGGTAGTCTGACTCCGTTTAGTCGCAGATGGGAACACCATCATTAAGATCTCACCGTCCCTGAAGTGTCTTCGTCTGGTCGCTGATGGCCCTGTTCCTGAAATTTCGCCATCCTTAAGGTTTCCCTATCTAGTCACACACTCTGAAGCTGTGGCTCTGTTGTTGGCTTGTTGCCAGTGTTGAAGCTCCGCCGTCGCAAGGTGGATCTCCTCCTGTCGTAGTCGGTTGCCAGCAACTAGGGTTGGTGAGAATATGAGATGCTCTTCAATAACTTTCCCTTCAAATTTAGACCGCCTCATTGCTTATAACTTATAAGTTATACTCGTATGAACGAAGGATTGATGGGCTATGAGCTGCTTAGAGCCCAAGATACATAAGAAGTAAATACTAAAAAAAGAGTTCGGTATGATACCATACCGTACCAAAATTTTCAGTAAAATTGATTTTTTCGGTACGGTAAATACGGTATTTCGGTATTTCGGCAATTTTCCCAGCCATAGTTATGTTCTAAATGAACTCTTGAGATTTCCCATGACCCAACATAATCAAAATGTGCTCTAGTTTGTGCTAAGCATTGTGATTGCATTGAAGGTTGGGGTTTCAAACAATTTTGCGACTTGCTACATCTACACCTCGCACGAAAACACTGTATTACTATTCCCACTAAAAGCCCTTTAGTTTTGTCTTTGGTTGATTTTCTTTTTCGTACAGGAAATCCGCTATTTCTAGCACATTTCGCATAAAAATCATACACTTCTTCCATGCTACCAAACTTCATGTCCACTTCTGGAGCTTTAACATTGTTGTTATCTCCTTGTCCATCTGTTACACAATACTCATAATTACATTGTTGTGTCTCTAGACACATACAACACCCATATAGTAGTTGTCTGTATACAGACAATATCTGTCGGTATACAGACATTAATTAGTTTTCTTTATATGCTAATATCTACGGTACATCTTTTTAGAACTCATGTTCGTAAATAAGTCATGCATGTACACATAGATTGCATTACCAAATCATCTTTGTGTTCACATTAATACAAAAAAACACCATAAACACCTTTTACAGACTAAATGTCTGTATATGAATGAATATTAGTTGTCCATGTATATTAGTTGTCTATGTACACAATAATTATAAGTCGTCTATGTACACGTGGACTGCATGAAGAACCCGTTTTTCCCTCCAAAAAGTACAAAAATAAAGAGAACGAACAATAAACACCTTCTAAACAACTACCTAAATCATCCATGGCGTCCATGTTCATGTTCAACCGTTCCCATTGTTTGAAGTAGTATTACCATCTCCAGTTGTCGTCGTCATTTCCATCAACAACTCCTCATACCAATCTTCTTCAGTTGGTGGTATTATAAAATCCATTCCTAAACAATGGAAAAATGGACCTTTGTTATAGGGGAGTGAAGAGGGTGATGTCTACCAATGACGCTTGGAGAGTAAGAAAAAAATTGAAGAGAGAGAAAAAAGAGAAGCATGTGTGGTGTGGGAGGGGGGTAAAATTTGATTAAAAAAAAACTATTTATAATGTGGACACATGTGTGTAAAGGGGTGTGTACAATGTACACTAAGCCTAACCCATAAAAGAAAAACAAAAAGAGACTGCTACACTGATATGGTTCTTCATTGCCCCTCATGTCTCAAGAACCAAAAAAATTGAGATCCTAAAAATAAACAACAACGCTTGATGTATCCACTCTTATATCCACTTTATACTCACCATGTTTGCGAAGGTTTACAGACAAAAATGTGTTATTTTGTCGTCTGTGCAAATTTTGCACAAACAAAATATTGCCTGTGAACGGAACTCACAGACATAAATAGTCTCACAAACATGGGTGAGTACAAGAGTGGATATAAGAGTGGGCACAAACATCATTTTTGAAAAACAAACCTATATGTGTTGCACAAATTGCAATACAATCGGGAAAGAGGGGGGGGGGGGGTGCAAGACAGGGATGGTTCAGTACGGTATACCGAATATTTTCTCTCATACCTTTGTCGTACCAAAACTTTCGGTATACAAAATTTATATACCGTTACCTTACTGAAATTTTGGTATACCGTATTTCGGTATACCGAACTTTTGGTTTAGTAACAGTACTGTATCGGTAAATTATCATGCATATCTCACAATACTACAAATTATCATAGACTAACAAATATAGCGACATATTTAATCCAAATTATTAAAATATGTCATATTAAATACATCATCATCATTACCCCAATGACGCAAAGGCTCACACCTACGGTGGGGTAAAGGGGAGTCAGATGTACGCAATCTTACCCATGTGCTTAAAGCACAGAGAGACTGTTTCCGGATGACCCATAGTGAAAACCGCTTCCACAATTTCATTGACTGGTTGCTACTTCATAACAAAGAAGTGCAGATAGTTCAGCCGTTCAGGGAGCCATTTTGCTTTATTTCATCATATTCTCAAGCCAAAAAAAAAATAGTGAATCTTTGACTCCGTTGCAGGAAAATGTCATATTCAATATTGAACAATAATTATTATTAGCATATTTAAGCACATGTCACATATTAAAAAATAACACATTCTCCTTAATAACTTGAACAATATAGATATGATTAAATCATTAATGAATAGTGATCTCTAACAAAAATAAATAAAACTATTCAAACAACATGGATACAAAATCATTTATACCTAATATGATATTGTGTATTTATTAGTCATTTTATAATTTCAAAAAATATTTGAAATAGACTTTCAGACAAAGTTGTGTGTCTTGACTCCCGCAATCCCTATGTAGATACACTCATCACATAAGTGTATCCCTCTTCACTTGTTAGCTACTCAGCGGCTCAGCCATCGTGACTCACAAGTTCGTAGAACAAGATGGACCGGTTTTTGGACATTAGTATACATTACTCATTAGTTATAGGGTTAGTTTGTTTGAATGTTACGTAGTAGAATCCTATAAGGTTATAGTGGGTTCGGGAAATTGTATCTTTCTTTTTGTATTTTAGTATTTGTAACCAATCTAAGTATTAATTTTGGATTTCAAAATTGTAATGGACTTTTACAATATTTTAGAATTTAAAGTAATTGTTGGGTAGAGAATTGGTACGGTATTATTCCGGTATACCGCGGTATTTGAAAACATTTACCGTTACCATACCGAAAAAAATCGGTACGATATGATACCATACCAAAAATGACAGTATACCAATACTCCGGTATTTCCCGGTATTTTTTCGGTACAATAATTGTGGTATACCGATTTTCCGGTATTTTTTTAAAAAATTGCCTCTATATTACCACCTGAGTTTTCATTTAAAAAAATATGACAACTTTTCCTTTTTCCAAAAATATGACATTTTAAAAAACCCCAGCCGTAATCATTTGCATATTTCCGTCGCCCCATCTTCCCCAGTGCAAGTCGTCCATCTTCTTCGCTCCCAATCGAAGCTCATTGATTGAACCAGAGGCGAAGCATCCCGCGAACTCGGAATCCACAGCATCTCCATCGCCTACCCCTGCAACGCCGCCATCTCCACCAGGCCAGAGTCGTCGAGAGCTCGTTCGCAACTTGCTTTACATTCCAGAAGCTGGAAGACTAGATCTGGTCTGCTTTTCATTCGATTCGTTTTGATTTCCATTCGATTCGTTTCCGTCCTTCTTTGATTCGTTCTTCATCGTCTTCGTCCTCCCTATTCTCCTCTTTGTTCTTCGCGTTCAACGACTGTATGACTAGATGGCGGCTAGGTTTTGGGATGCAATGAAGGCAGGGGATGGGATTTAGGAGGCTAGGAGGGGATATGGATAGGAGGGGGCGACTGCAGGGGTTTGGAGCTAAGGAGGGAATAAGGGAGAAGAGGGGGGGCTGGGCAGTCGGAGGGTGCTGTGTCAGGGAAAGGGGAGGGGAGGGGAGGGGACTGGGGATGGTGCAACGATTGTGCAGGACTGGGGCTGGGGTGTACTGGACCTGGGGTTCGATGGTTGGCCGGAGTGGTGGCCGAGACTGTCACACGGAGCTGCAGGGGGAGGGTGCAGGCACGCGGCATTCAACGACGTCCATGGAGTTGTACAGGGGCTAGAAACCTTGAGGTGGTGGTTGGGGCGGGGGTGGTGCAGTGACTGTCGTGAGGGGGTGGGGCAGTGATGGTGTGTGTGGTGACTCTGGATGTGGCTGAGGGCTGAGAGGGGGCTGGGGAGTTGGCGGCGGGCTGGGGAGGGGGCTGGGGATGGCGGTCGGGGGTGGCGGTGGCGGTTTGCGTCCGTTTTGCGTGTCACTATGGCTGAGTAACTGTGGTCGGTGGGCCAGCAGTCATTGTGGCCGGAATCGGGTGTCATTGTGGCCAGAATCGGGTGTCACTATGGCCGGAGTCACTTTGGCCAGAGTCACTGTGGCCAAAGTCACTGTGGCGGTGGGGCAGCCACTGTGGTCGGTGGGGCATTCACTGTGATTGGTGAGGTCACTTTGGGCGGAGTCACTTTGCTCGGAGTCACTTTACACTGCAGGATTAATTGTGATGCTGGTCACATTTTTAGAATTTTTAAAAATAGATCACTTTTCTATCTTTTATCCTATTTTTAGTAATATTGAAATAAAAGGCCTATTTTTTGCCCCCTAGGTGCAACTTCTTAAACTTGTGAGTTAGTAATCATCTTGCCATTGAAATTCAACTATCTTCCGGGTTCGGAATCAAAGAGAAACAAGCAGCTTTGAAAACATTCTCAGCAAGACTGAAAAATGGAGGAAATCTCGCAATCATCCGCGCCACCACTTGATTCCCTCAAACTGTCCCACAAGATTACCGAAGTCGCCGCCGGAGAAGCTCACACTCTCGCTCTCACCGGTTTCTATACACCGAATTTACTATTTCAATTGTAACTTAATCATTATCGTTAGTGGATAAGGTTTTTCATTTTCCTTTTTGTTGAACAAAAAGTATTCTCTTGCAGCGGATGGGAGCGTTTATTCTTGGGGAAGAGGATTTTTTGGCCGGCTCGGCACTGGATCGGAGCTCGACCAGATGTTTCCTGTCAGAGTTGAGTTTGGCTCTACGGCTGTTAAGATTGTGGCTATTGCGGCTGGAGCTTATCACAGTCTCGCGCTTGCAGGCAGGGCTATTATTAGCTGTTTATACTGTTTATTTTCATTGTTTGATAGCTATACTCTATTATTAAATGCTTTGGTCTTTCTAAGGGAAGAATCTGTCTGCACAATAGGTATTTGAATTTGAGTGAATATGGGGTTTGTCAATATGCTTTATGTTGATCGTGCTAGAAATATTATTTAAACAGACCGAATTTAATAAAACGGAGTACAAAATAATGAGCTTGAAACAATTCAACACGCTAACCAGGGAATGTAAAAATAGTAAACAACAATAAAATATACCATGCATGAGTACAATAATGGATAAATTAAGTTAAATGCAGATGAAAACATTATTGAAGATTGCTCGACAAATGGGGTAGTGTTGAAGAAAGATTGCCTGCACCACTGTTTGCTAGACATAAACAAATAGAATGAGACTGGCAGCAATTAACTGGAACAAGTTTTTCTCGGCGATGCCTTAGTTACGGACTTGACTGTACTGCGGAATGTATTTCCAGAGTATATTATATATTATTGGTTGTGCAATCACAAGCTAATAATATATACGGAGTAGTATATTTAGGAAAGTGGTAGTCTGGTAGAGGTGGTTAGCTTATCCAACTTGTTAGCCATGAAGTTAGGATCAGGCAAGCAACATATACCTCATCCTATTTCACTATTTGATCTTATAAATTATTATAAGATGCCATATTGAAACGGGACATTAAATTCAACATAATTGATACGCCACTTAATAGCACTCAACTATGTATTCTGATCATTAAATGACCTTCACCCAATCATGAAAGTTGTTCTTTGATGTACAGTAAACCTTTTGAAAACTATACTATATAGTTTATACATTTATATCATGTAAATCATAAATAGACCTATCAAAATTTATAATTTCATCATACTTTCTACTGAAAACAGATCATATATTCATATTTACACAAGTACGGGTCAACGTGATTCTATTTAAACAAATAATTGTCGCTCTTCATGCTGATATAAGTCCTGTTAATCCTTTTGGAATACATTATTAATGAACAAATCATGAATTGTTTACTCACTGCTATGTTATTTAGATGCCCCCAACAACAATAAACTCTAATAGCTGTTTTAAACTCATTTGCTTTCTTTTTGCCTTTTTTATTGCAGATGATGGGTCTATTTGGGGATGGGGTTATAATTTATGTATCCTTCAGTTTTTTTTCTTTCGCAAATAGCCCCTCTGCATCTACTTTATAGCTAAAGGATTATTCGTCATTACTATTTTAAAATCCCTGACTGATACATGGACGACCAACTTGGTGCAAATGGAGAAAATTCGCTAGCTCCTCGTTTACTAGAAGGATTCATTGGGCTGGGTTCCCTCAATGCCTCAAGAGAGGAACCAGAAAAGAAGAAATTAATGGTAAGCTTTTTTCATAATGATTGAGCCTCATAGGAGATTAGGAACTATGAACGGATGAATAGTCAGTTAGTGATTACCCTTGCATAGGGTCCGTTTGGAACTTGGAAAGTGCTGTGGAAAGAAAACATGAAGGAAAATGGGAAGGAAATAAAGTATGAAGAGAAAAAAATTGATTTAAACTATTTAGGATGTTTTTAATTGGATTGAAATATTATTTCTAATCTGTTTAAGTCTTGTTTGGTCTGGTCTGAACTAGTCTGGTTGATTTTTGTTCTATATATATTTTACAACCATCAAAGTCTGGTCTTCTAATTATGTCTGGTTTGGGACTGAAACCAGTTCAATTAAAAACATCCTAAAAAAAGCAGTAGTTGTTTTTCTTAACTCATTTTTATTTAAATATATCTATTATAAAGACGAAGAAATTTAAGTATAAGTAAGATTTGATTTTCCATTGTATTTTGCAATGTATTACCAGAGATTTAAAATATCCTCTATTTTGCTCCATTTCCCACCTTTCCCCCAGTTCTATACATAGCCTTACTTGATTGGTCCTTCATAAAAACCCTTGAATTCATTTACTGCTCAGATTTATTCTGTTAAAGCCGGAGCAATGATGTCTCTAGCAATTGACAGTCTAGGAGGTCTCTGGATATGGGGCAACTGCCCTCAGCCACAACAAGACAAGCCAGTTGATGCTAAATTTTCTATCGCATGCACTCCTAATCCAACACCTGTATGGAGCTTTCATCGGCACACTGTTGTTAAGGTGGCATGTGGAAATGAGCATATTGTGGCATTGGTTACCACAGGGGAAACGTATGAAGGGGATAATGATCTTGTGTGCTATTCTTGGGGTGGAAACAGTCATGGTCAATTAGGTTTGGGGGATAAAGAAAGCCGAATCTTTCCGGAAATTGTCAAACCCTTTAATTCCCAATCCCCTTGGACCGTTTATGAGGTGGCATGTGGGGCTTTCCACACAGCTTTACTATCAAAGAAAACCCAAAATGGCATATTGGAAAGTGTTTGCTGGACATTTGGCCTAGGTGACAATGGGCAATTAGGTCATGGCACTAACCAAAGCCATTTATCCCCCGAACCAGTGAGAGAATTGCCAAGAAGTGCGACTCTCATTTCAATTGACTGCGGCTTGTTCCACACCAGTCTTATCTCATCAGCTGGAGATGTTTGGTCATGGGGAATGCAAAAAGGCATGGGTCTATGCCCCGATACAAGGTTCACCGGAGATGAAACTGGCGATGCAATGTTGCCTGTATTGATCCATTGTGAAAATGGGCATAATAAGTTTCAAGAACCTGTCCAAATTGTCTGTGGTGCAGCCCATACAGTTCTCCTTTCAGATTCTGGGTACAAGATCTGGTCGTGGGGACGGGGACGGAGTGGGGTACTTGGAACTGGTCAAACAACTGATACTTTCATTCCAATTCCCGCAATGTGGCCCCCGCCTCTAGATGAATATAAGAGCAAAGAAAGTGAAGAAGAAATGAAACCTACTAAGGAGGTCATTGAAATGGAGAAAAAGCTATATGCAGCCAAGATGGAGATAAATCAGCTTCGAACGAAACTATCTGTGATGGGAAAGTACGCTGGCATCCTTCACAGCTCTATATTTGGGAAACCGTTTGATGATAAACAAGATATCCCTGCCTCAGTGCACAGTGGGGGTACGTTTGAAATAGCAAAGGAGTGGGAAAACATGTTGGAGTGCTTGGATCGTGGAAAGCTAGTGAGGCTAGAGTTGTTTTACAGCAACATGCTTGCTGGTGTTAAGGATAGCATATTGAAGAAACGGATCAAGGAGATCGTTGTCGATTGCCTTGGCTCTTCCCGTTAATGCAATTAGTGAGTCCATAGGTTTCTCCAAGAACATAACTGTTGTATAGTCAAATGTTGTTTGACCAATGTGAATTATCAAGTTGTGTTGTAATTTGTTTTCATCATTTATCCCAATTGCGCGCCAGTGCAACTGATCCCATAGAGTTGGGATTACAATGGTTTGGTTTTGGCCTAACGTCCAACCGGTGTCTGGCCGTCTGGGAGGTGCATGTGTTGTGCAGTACATGCGATGACATTTTGAAGAAAGAAAGAAAACCGTATACCACCCCAAGAAAAAACAATCTGCCAGCCATTTTGAAGAAAGAAAGAAAACCGTATACCACCCCAAGAAAAAACAATCTGCCAGCCGGCACTATTGTTCTCCTCATGCTTGATGAGAAACTTCTCAGAGAGTTTCTAAAATTGTGGTGCCATGTAGTTAAAATAATGTGTAGACGAAGATTAGATGGTTATTCATGCCAGAAACTTGACATTGCAACTTTAAAAAAACTAGGCGACGTATACTAAGTTGAAGTGTAGTCAATGTTCCAATCTTTTCTAACATTCAACTCTCAACTATCAATTGTTCGACCCCTCACTGTTTCAACATTTCAATTCTATTCATACTTTACATTATAATAATATGTATAACTTCAATAAATTTTTGGTACTAGTTGTAAGTTGATTACCATATTTTGTCTTTCGACTCTTGCCATGGCAAAATGATAAAAAAAATCACATTTTAGTTTTAATTTACGTTTATCTTGTAAATAAATATTGAGATAAAGTCTCATTGTTCATATTTTATTCATTGCAAAATTATATAAAAAAGCAAATTTTAATTTGCAAATCTTGCATAGAAAAGTTGCCCTCATACACCCGATTCAGTGCTGCTCGAAGTCCGATTGGCCAGCTCCTGATCCTGAGTAAATAATCAATCAATTCTTATCTGATTCCTATGAAGAGTAGAATAGAAAATATTTGGAGAGAAGAAGAGAAATTAAATAGAGAAATGATATGCTCAGTACGCAATAATGAGTTCATTTTTTCCCCACAAGAATCCATGGTTTATAATTCGATAAGAATGAATGAAAGTTTGAATATACTTAAATTTGTAAAGAGTTTTAAAAGTCCATATTCAATACATCTAAACTTTTAAATATATGGACTCTTAAAAGTTTGACACTTATTTCAATACATTGTTAAACGATTTAAATAATACTCTGTAGTAGTAGTAGTAGTTATTTATATAAGCTCATTTTATTAAAAGTTTTCTATTATACGGACTAAGAAATCTAAATACATATAATTTGATTTTCCTTCATGCTTTAAATGTATCACCATACATTAAAAAAACAAAAAAATACTCTATTCTTTTCGTCATATCCCTACCAATCCCAAACTTAGCATTATTTGATTGGTCCTTTATAATTAAAAAGCCCCTTATATTCATTTCTTGCTCAGATGGCATCTGTTGAAGCTGGAGCCTGGAGCAATGATGTCTCTAGCAATTGACAAATGACAATCTAGGAGGTCTCTGGATATGGGGCAACTGTCCTCAGCCACAACAAAATAAGCCCATTGATGCTGACTTTTCTTTCAAATGCACTCCCAATCCCACACCTGTCTGGAGCTTTCATGGACACAGGCCAACTCCCATCCCAAAATTTAAAATTATACTCGTATGTATTAGTGTAAACTTTATTTGAAAAAAGTTTTATGCCGCCCCCTCTCAACTTTCGCTCACGACTATGCCCATGTCCATATGGGAAACATTTGAATGGAATAACTATATACTTCTGTTCCAACTTCTCTTCTGCAACGTGCCCCCCACCCTCACACACAAAGGCTAGATAAGAACAAAATGGCTAAGAAGAAGTGAAACCTGCTAGGGACTTTGCTGAAATGGAGGAAAAGCTATATGCAGCCACAATGGGTATAAATCTGCTGAAATGAAGGAAAAGCTATATGCAGCCACAATGGGTATTAATCTGCTGAAATGGAGGAAAAGCTATATGCAGCCAAAATGCTTGCCGGTGTTAAGGATAACATATTGAAGAAATGGATCAAGGAGATTGTTGTGGACGGCCTTGGCCTTCCCCACCAATGCAATCAGAGTCCATAAGTTTCTCCAAGCAACATGGTTTTTGTGTAGTCAAATGTTGTTTGGTTAATATGAGTTGTGGAGTTATGTTGCAAACCGTTTTCGCCATTTATCACAATTGCATGTCAGTGGATGTGGGGTTCTAGAGATTTTCTACTGGATTACTGCTTATACAGCCGATCCCATTCATTTTGGATTACAAAAGTGTTTGTGGCCTAATATCCAAGGATGTTTTTACTTGGACTAATATTTGTTGGTCTGGTCTAAACTGGTCTGGTAAATGTCTGGTCTCTATGTATTTTATAAATGTTCAAGTCTGATCTGATCCGAGACTGAAAACAGTCCAAGTAAAAACATTCTAACTGGTGTCTGGCAGTACAACACTAGTGTTCTCCTGCTCCATGAAGTATATGTTGTAGAAGAAGATTATGGTTCTTCATGGACCATGGTTGAAAGTTGAAACTTGACTTTGCAACTTTTTAAAGTTTACAAACAAAAAAAATTAAAAACAGTAGGCAATGTAAACTAAATTGCCTAATAATTATTCATTCAAATATAAAGAAATTACAAACAAAACACACATGAAGGTGATATATTATACATTTGCTATAAAAGATTAAAAGATGCAAATTAATGTAAAACAAGCTACAACATATCATTCTAATTATAAGGAAATGAAAGTCGAAATTTAAACAAATGAAAATTTAGTGTGAAGTATAAAATATACACTACACTAAAATTAAATAAACACGTGTAGATAAAAATTGAGATAGTGAAATCCACTACAGAGGATATCCAGATGGGTAAAAAAACTGAACTAGGTACCCATTTTTTTAAACCAGACCAGCAGAGATTCTAATTACTCCAAAATAGGTCCTGATGGTTTCTGGTTTAGTTCATTTCTAATTTGATCCTTTTTTAAAAAAAGAAAAAAAAAACAATGTAAAAGCTTAACCAGAACTAATTTACGTATTTCTTAGCCTGCCTTCACTAACTCTGTTTTTGGGTAAACCATTGAATGGCATTCAACATTAACCACAAACAAATGACAACGATTTGAACAGCTTAGCTTACGTGGAGTGTTGAACACACCATTGCAGCTTAGTCAATAATTATGAACCACAGAACACATGCAGACCGCAGAGTATTAGGTAGTTTCTTTAATATGTTTGTAATTTTTCACTTCAATATATACATAAACCTACAGGCTACAAGCTTTATTCTACATGATATAATATCTCTAGCATTCTTTTGTAATAAAAACGTGTGCAACAATCAGATGGTGGAAGATATTTTAATACTATGTAGTTGAAAGTACTCCCTCATGCTTTTTTGTAGAAGTTGTGGAGTTAACTTTACAAGAGATAGACATGTCCCTTGGTTTAAAGCACAACTTTACCTTGATTTAAATTTTGCATATATTACTTGCCATTTAAATATGCAAAGCTTAAACAATGACATATCAATGAAAATAACCAAGACAAACCGCCAAATCATTGAAGGCTCATGAGAAGGGCCAGGGATATATATATTTATATCGTAAAGTATGAATCAATCCTGTATCAATAGACAAACCCAATCCTTAAATATACATTGATTTTTTTCATGAAAAAAAGGGAAAAAAAGAATAATAACAAATGAATATAGGGCTGAAAGAAAAACTTACACAGGAACACTGTTGCAGCCAACAACAGGTAGGTCATAATATAGCCAAAACTGATATAACCTATAAGCATATCAAGCATAGGGAACTAGACTTCACCTAATATGTTTTTGCAGAAACATTAATAAGGCACATCATGGACCACATTTTTTCGAGATTATTAATGGTCTGTTTGGAGGGGAGGATTTTGGAGGGTTTAGTCTGTCTCGTCTTGATATATAGAATGTTTCTAAAAACAAACAAAAGCCGATTGTAGTGTTATAGACTAAGCCTTCTAAAGTCGTTCTCTCTCCAAACACCCCCCAACAAACTTGTGTCCAAACACAGCCTAAGCCGGAATGAATAACTATACAGGAGAGCACTGCCACTTAACTAAGCAACAGGAGCACCGCGGTTAATACTTCACCCACGATCTATGCTTTGGAGACTATCAGAATATCACATACCTTTGCTATACCGACTCATCAGAGCTTTTTGGGCAAATTGTAAGTCTTCTTCAGGAATTTCGTAGCAGTTTCATCATTCCTGTGACATATGACACGCAAAAGTGTGTTTGGTTCAGTGGGCTTCCACTGTCCTGATGTTGGGGGCAACGGAAGCCTCGACTTAGCAGAGGACCCATATGCCTCTACAGTAAGTCTACGAAAACTTTCTACAAGGCTTTCTGTATCTGTGTTGTACAGTGAAAGAACATCCCTTACCGTCGTTGAGTACTTGTTTATAACATCAATCGGCAATCCATCTCCGTTTGCCCAAAATAGATCCTTGAGAGAATCAAAATCTTCCTCTAGTATTTTTGAGTCATGTCTAGTGAATGCACGGGAAGGTCCTCCAGCAAGCAAGACAAACAAGAAAGCATCAAAGGAAGCTTTCATTATGTCAGCAACAATCCAGTTACATACTCTTCCATTAACAGTGTTTGATATGATTGTAAGGATTCGTTCAACCTCTTGGAGGAAAGGTTCAATACGTGAGGAAGATGGATCTCCTACATATAAACCATCCCATAAAACATGACCTAGATCATTAAAGACAACCTTGTACACCAATGCCTCGCTGATTTGTTGTATCGTCTCGATACAAGCAGTAGGTGTTATTTCGAACTTTTTGCCCGAAATGTTTGAGATGTCATCCACATGAGCAGATTCTGAATTTCTTAAGAGTGTGATGATCCTCTTTTCAAGAACTTCCAACTCCGTCCGGATTTTCTGTAAAGTGTTTATGCGTACTAATAACTGAGGCATCCCAAATGAACTACTGTCTCCGTTCATTGTTGCAACCTGTGAATTCCTCCTCTGTGCGATTATCGGCTTGTCTCTCTTCTTCCACACACTTAACTTTGTCCCTGTGGTACACCTTGTTAATGCCGGCATGGTTGGGATGTATGTGCTTCTTGATCCTATATTTGGGCAATCACTAATAATAATCAGTTTGGAGGCCCAGAACTTTGTTGTAGTTGAAGGGAGAAAAAGAAAGTAGAAATTTAACTTCTTTGGTTGCAAAGTACAGGGAAGGGGGTGTAGGGGGGATGGCGGGGGCCTCCCCTTTATTCATGTGAAAAACAGCCTCTCAATGGCTTTTTCTCTATTATTTTCATTTATATCCTTACTTTTATTGGTCCCCTTATTTATACAATTGAACTTCATGCCTCCCTGATTAGTTTACCTAATTCCCTTTGCACAGAGTTACAGAAATTAAATTGTATGGTTGGTATTTAGAACACATTGGGTAAGGATTACTACCTGAAATAACTGAATCTGATGAACTTTGTGAAAGTAAAAGTGTGAGGTAGCACCGATATCAGCCAAATTAGCAAGTTAAAACATACTTATTCTGTTTGT